CATAAATACATATTTAAATAAAAGATGCTGTGATATAAAATAATAAAAGTAAAAAAATTTCATATTTGTATCGTGTACATTACAGAACTTACGACCATTAGAAAATCAAAAAGAATCAAATGTCCCGCTCCGATCCCTTCTACTGTTAAAATATGTCCTGTTAAACAATGTCCATCTCCTCGATTCATCCCACCCAATCTGTACGAGTCGAGTTCGAGAGAGGAGCCCCGCGAGTTTTTCAGGATTTTTCAACCGATTTATCTTCAATATTTCTGCACATTATTATTGTGTACAACTCACTTCATACATACTTCTTCTCGCAAAAAGCCAAATAACTTAAGAGCGCTTTCGGAGGGCGAGTGGTTATCGCGACAGTGTCGCGATTTATATTCGCTGTCGACGCCGGTCGTTCGTCTCCACGTAAGTTTCGCGTCGGCGGAGTTTTTCCGCGACGGCGAGGCTAGGCGATACGTTTTCCAGCGGAAGCTGGCGTTGAAACAATGAACCGACCAACCGGCGTGCTCCCTGCAAATCTCCAGGCTTAGCGCCCCCATTGTCACCCCCGGCCGCCCTTTTCCGCTCGCATCCGCAACCCACCCCACTCCACCCCTGCGGGAAAAGGGTGCTTCGCGGATTTAGACGGCACTGTCGTCATAGCAACCCTGGCGAACGCCGGCCTCTCGAACTTGTTCCACGCGCGCAAGCCGGGACGCGCGTGTTTTCGCGCCGCAAACGGCCGATACGAGCGATCGTATTTCCGCGCCGCGGCAAATCCCACGTAAAAAGTTCCGCTCCGTACTGGCGCGCGCCGGTCATTGAATACAGATTAAAGTGCCAATTGCGACGCGGCAACTCCGATCGCGGCGTATTTTGTGAGGGAGGGTGAGACGGACGCGTTCGTCCGAGTGTTCGGAAAGTTCGGCTCGGCGCGAGCATGAGAAGACTGGAGGGAGCGATAAGAATCTGTTGGAATTAATCATGAAAGCCATGTGGCTCGATAGTGAGTTATGCATTTTTATTGTTGATAATTTGTGAAGTCTGCTGGACTGAGTATTTGACGCGCGTGGTCTCCGAGCCGCAAAATTTACAGCCTCACGACGCTTGAAATTTTGAGAGCCTTTAGATTTGGAACAGTTATCGATATTCGAAACTTTATCTCATTATAGTTCAGAATTCCGTTGAGCTATTGAGCGAGAGAGAGAGAGAGAGAGAGAGAGAGAGAGAGAGAGAGAGAGAGAGAGAGAGAGAGAGAGAGAGAGAGAGAGAGAGAGAAAGAGATTCGTTGAGAGAATCTCTTCGTATTGATCTGCAGATTGTTTTGATATCGTGAAAACACAATAACAATTTCTGTCATTGAATATCGCCGTCGCGACGCCCGGCGGTATTTCATTCAACGACGCCGACGTCGTATATTTCAAGCGGCGGCTGTGTCGGATTTATCGTTTTAATTTCTGACGGGATTGAAGCGGGAGAAAAGAATAAGATATCTCGCGGGTACCCGGGGGATTCTTTTCCTCGGAGAGCGTGGAACGAGGTGGAGGCAAAGTACATTCGTCACGAATTATTAAACGAGGTAACAAAAGACCGACGGGAAAAAAAGATTAGGAGGTAGGATCGGCTAACCATTACACTTGGCGGTAACAGATGACCGAGGATTAAGCCCTCCTCGCCGATAAACTCTTTGCTTTATTATCGTCATTATTATGATTACCATTATTATCGTAATCGTCGTCAGTTTCGTAATAGTTGACACGATACTTATCTCGCGATGTGTTTTTGAGAGTCAAACCGGAGAATTTATGAGCGAGAAGCAGTCGCGACGAATCTACGACAGCCCGTGTGTTCTTCACACGTTTGTACACATTAGCGAGTAACACTGCTAAAATGTAATTAAGGTCTTATCGCAATTATTGGCGGATTTTTACGCATCCTGCCGTTCTGTGTGTATACTTTCCAGCCTCCCGATGTGAGACGCGTTCTTATCAGCGGGTGGAAGGGTCGCATTAGGTATTAAATTATGGTCAGCCGCAGGCTGCAATAATACCGATGCAACAGACGGGTGTGGCAGGAAGCGAGGCAACCCCGTCGCGGAATTAACCCTCGAGATCGCCAGCGCTTCCGAGGGATAATTTCATTTGGCAGCGAGTCCTGGCCGCCCGCGGGCTGTCTGGCCACCATTTTCTCTTTCGCTCTAGTTTCTCTCTTTTATCTACCGCGAAATTTATTCTCGTTGCGATTTCTCCATCCCTATGCCGCGCGTTTCGTATCACGAAGACGAAATCATATTGCTCGGAGACACCTCGATGCAAATTGCGCCATAATTTTGTCCATCGCTCCGTTTTTCGATTTCGAAGAAATCTCAACTTCAACTTTTTCCAGGAAGAGGGAGCGTGGGTGCAAAGCGACGGGTTTACGAGCTTCCACGGACGTGATAAACTTCTAAAGCCAGACGGGACAGCGACGGGGTTACGGGTCAAATCAGGACGAGGGTGAAGAAAAAAATAAGGTCCACATCCTCCCACGAGGACGGTCGAGAGAATGGCGTGGAAACGTCTCCATTTGCGGGACAAAGAGACCGGCTTTTTTGGAGTCCATCTTCCACGTTTTATCCTCGGGGGTTATTCACCCTTGGCTTTCATCCTTGTCTAACTTTCGCACGAGGGGCTGCGGATACGCCGATTGGTGTTCGTCAGACACGCAAAAAACTTAGCGCTCTTGCCGGTCGATTCTTCGGGGCAATACCAGTACTTATCGTCTCTTGATATCACAACTCTGACAAATTATCAAATAAAATATTGCCAATTATCAGTATTCTTGCTAGTAATCAATATTCTTGCCACCGTCGCGTTTCTTTCCCCCCTCTGTGAACTTCGAGCTCGTATTTATTCATTTATTCACATGTAATACATTAGGACGTTGAGGGCGTTTAACTTGTGGAATATCGAAGGGAACAGTTTTGCCAAAACGAATTTCGGGATTGCCAGGATTTTCCATATGCGTTGGATTTCTTGTAATCATCAGTAAGACGAAATAAATACAGTCGTAAATGTTGTAATTTTATAATGAAATGAAATCTTGGCAGACATCTCGCTCGCGCTAACGTGCAATAACGATCCCTTCCTCGGAGCTAGCTACCCTCTCGTACCTGTAACATCAATTAAAATTCTCATGGTCGATGCGCTGCTGTTTCGCGCGATCGTCCGGCGTTTTTAATTGGATTAGAGCGAGACGGCTAGAGAGCGACCGAGGGGAAGGTGGCTCGTTTCGAGGGTGCGAGATTGCAGGAAGGGGTTGGTGGGATATTTCGGAGCAGGGCGGGGAATGGGTTTGGTGGGCAACTCAGGTAAATGACAGAGACGAGCGGCCCTGTTCCCTTTTCCAGCCGATTCCACCAATTCGTCGGAAGGAAGGCATCCCCGGAAATGAGGAAATTAGCTTTTCCATCACGGCTTAATTTTTTCCCATTTAAAATTCTCGTCTCGTGTTTGAAAACCGCCGGTGCTCGCCGCCTCGTTTGCGATTAACGTTGTTTTGTCACTCGTCCACAGCGCCCGGTTATCATCGTCCGACGCGAATGATAAGTTATAATTCAGCAAATGGCACCGCGACGTGCGCGCGGAACGCGACGCGTTTCCAGTCCGCCGCGTTTTCCGCGTCGAATCTGAAAATACGCCGCGTGATAAATGAGCGATCCGTTTCGGGCGCCGCACATCTGCATTCACAACGCACGCGGCATTAATTATGTATTCAATAAATTTTAAACGCATTGAAATGAATTCAAATTGCAGATTAATATTAAACGGCGTGCGCTAATTGGCCGGCCAATTATGCGGCGTTAATTAAACATTAGAAGCGGTGTGTCTGCTAATGCGAACACTATTCCGCCATCTACTGACTTCGCTCCATGTCCTCGGTAATTCCCGGTTTTAACGCTGCTATCTGCAGGAGAGAGCGACATTCGCGTCGGAACGCGTGTCCTGCAGCACCATCGGTCGATTCGCTAGGATCTCTGCGCGTTGTGCCGGATGTAGATTCGAGAAAACCGAACTGTCCTCTCGCAACAAACTTTCGACGGAGCTTCTTCATCACGTTTCCATCACGATTCCATCATCATTTTACTGAATTGTTGATATTTAGCAAGCTGAGAAACAAATTTTTCTCTAAACACACACACTACATCTCCTCGTCGAATAACGTTTGCAAAGTTCATCTCACACACACACACACATAAAATGCATTAACATTAATAACATTGCGATCTGTCGGAAGACATTAAATACGCATTTATTTCTTGTACAGTGAGTGTTACATAATGTAATAATAATTAGAGACAGAGACAGAGACGACAGAGATTGTTAGAAAAGGAACATTTTATTACACTCAGTTATAATCGTTACAACATATTGATGTACGTATTTATGCGGGCGCATTGAACATTCATTCTAATCGTCGTTCTATATGAGGAAGAAATGCGAGAAACGAACGTAGATGAAACTAATAATTAAAATATATATCCCTTCCTCTTCCCCTCAATGCAAATTGCGTTGTCAACGGAAACACTTTTATTTGTGATATGTTCTCGATTAGTGGTACAATTAGAGCGCGTACTTCTTCGACCGAAAAGTATGAGGAAAATTTCGAATTAAAGCCACCTGATTTCTCGCATACCGAGCGATGTGCACTTTCTTATTATTGACTTATTGAAAATAACAGTTTTGCGCCCGAATGACTATCAATCATGGCTATATCAACCACCAAATATATTACAACATATTGACTATATTAATGTTACACCTTACAAGTTTGTTCGATTGGTTATGCAGCTAAAACGCGATTACGTGTTGAGTTAAAGGTAAATAGCGAGTGGCGGACATTACATTACTCCTCTGATATCTAAAATGACGAGAGTAATTCAATTTCACCGTCATTCTTCGTCTTTCGTTTAACTCGTAAAACTTTGTCGTGTGTGCGCGCAGTATTATTGACAATATTATTGCAAATCACGTTTGCATTTATATCTCCTCGCTTATGAATTACATTTCGAAGAATTCTGCACTGAGTCCAATTACTTCCAGACAGCCTAATCGTACAATACTTCACCGATGCGAAACCGTGATTACTTTTTGGCATTATTCTCCGCTGCAGGAATCTGCAACACCGGTAGTCGATAAGAACGCATTCTTCTCTCTATATATCGTATGCCAGTAAACGCGCGATTAATAGTAGACAATACGTATATTTCTACATCACCGATGGAAAATCTTGCACCACTGGTAGCACGGTGTAGATACGTTCGTATAAAGACGTTTCTTCGTTCGTACGGAAGATACGCTGTAGCGTCTCTCTCGTGAGAGAACACACATATTAAATAGATATATTTGATACAAGACGCTACCGCGTTTGTCGATAGAGCTCTGTTCGTCAGCTAGTAAAAAACTCTTTGTTTGCGTCCTCTGTAATATAAATCCTCCAACTCGCCTCGAAAGTTGTCACACTGAATTCTGGTTACAGTGAGGTCTCCTCTTCTTGAAGTTACCTTGGAGTCGGAGGTGGAGGTGGTGGTCATACAGCACTTCCCGTGTAAAAGCTTGCTTTGCCGGCTATCCCAGACGCACGCTTTCTCTTCTCGCACTCCATCGTGCTGAAGGTGTTTTGAGCGATCTGGGACTTGCGTTTCGGATTCTGCAGGGTCATGCTGCGCTGACTGGAGTTTGAGCTGGAGCTAGTGCCCGGCTCCGATACCCTGAGGATGCCGGAGTGTATCGTCCCAAAGTTCTGATATATATACTGGGACTGAATAGCCGACACTGACGTGTTCTGATTCTTCAACGTGATCGGAACGGTCTGGCCAGCCAAGCTGTTGAATCGGGTGTCGTAACCGAACGGAGTGTCCAGCAAGGATTCGTTCTTGTCGGAGTAGCCGCTCAATCTAGAATCAAGAAGACTTTCCTTGTCAGCGAAACCGCTCAGCCTAGAGTCGACAACATTCTGGTCGGTGTTTCTCGCAGGAAAGTCGGGATAACGTTGCTCTTGATTGAGTTCTTTGTTATCCGTGAAGGCAATCATATTTTGTCTAGAGTCGGACAGAATCCGGGAGTCGATGAAGCCTTCCTTATCCGTGAAACCACTAAGCCGAGAATCTATGACGCTACCCTCCGACTTATCGACGAAGCTGTACCGTGGATCGACGTTCTTGTTTTCCGGGTAGGCCGGCAAGACGTGAGATAGATCTGCCTTATCGACGTAACTGATGGCCTGCGGGTTTGAAGCGCAGATGTCGGGCGCCGACTTGCAGAGCAACGAAGTTCCTTCTTCGGCTACTTTCTGAGGCGCTAGGACACAGAAGTGCGGACTTACTCTTTCCTCCAGGCATGAGAAAGCGCGCTTATATTTGTACAGGGTGTCCCGCAGCACTTCGGAGTTTTTAGATCATTTTAGATCATTGGGATTCCGTTGGATCTCTCAGGATCTCGACATACTCGCACCCGTAGGATTTCTACGGCGACTGATTACGGATCCCTTGATCTGTACGATTACGCAAATGCTACGCGCGTGTGCCGCACCATCACACGCGGGACACCCTCTCTAGCGATAAGTTCACCCACTTTTGGCTGGCTGACCGAAGGGTCGAGTCTGCGGCGGTCCCGGCGATTTTTGATGCGCCCTCACGAGATATTCCGAGCTGAGCCCTCTCTGCTCCCTAAGCTTCCTCTCGGCACCCGGGACCATGACCCTCACCTAAAAAAACAACAAAAGACATAAATATCCTGGGGCTAAATGAAACAAGCATAGTATTCGACGATATAAAGCCAGGAGTCCACTTGCTCGACGTCGGACAACACGTGTTATTGTTTCACGTTTTAATGAAAGCTCTCGTCTCCAAGCGGACTCCCAGCTGAAATCGAACGGAACAATTCGCGGTGAGAGTTTTGATCGACAACTTCACCATCTCCTCAACCGTGGAGAACCGCGCCATGTAGCCGGACATCGTTAAAACGGCCGCCACTTCCGCAAGGATCAGCGCTAATCCCGAGAGCTGGAGGCACCAGCCGTAGTGATACTGAGGTAGACCGTTATCGTCCATTTGCATGCCAGTTGGCGACGGCAAACTATATTTCCCCGGTAGTTCCAGCGACGCGTCCGACAATGCCGACGCCAAGACTATCAAGCCACCGCCCAGGGAAAGACCTGAAACACGCAGCGTTTTATTTCTCACGGTTTTTCATCCGTTGAACAGAATTTACGGACAAAACTATCTGATCTGTCAAAATTTAGTCAGAAGAGATGAACATGAAACGATCGAAGACTTAGGAAAGATCAAGTCAAGTTATTCGTTAAAGAAAAAATTGAGTTTCACGTTACAGTATCTACGTGGTCGAAAAGTACCTAGCCGGCTAAAAGTTTAGCAACAACTTTCTAATTCTCGTCTTCACTTTTTGCTCGCCATATCGTTGAACGTGCAAAGTTCTCAGGTATTAATAATTTCTCTCTACGTGACAGCCGAGGGTTGAAGCGCAACTATTGGGAACGGGACAAAATTGCCAAACTAGTAAGTAAGACGTGACCGCGGGACATGTTCGAGAATTCGGAACATCGCCTGCACGCGCTTTATCACGACAATAGTCCTCCTTGCGGCGTGCGCATCCCGAATATCCGCAGTTAAGAACGCAATAACGGAGCAGCTTACCCCGTCATAACGGGCGTATCGTCGAGCTTGGGATTGAACCGGCCGCGTACCGGAGCGACTGTCGCCAGCCGGCTCCTCCGCTTTACGCGTATGCAAATTTTTACGTTCGCTGCTTTACGGCCGGCAAGAGTGCGGTTTGGCCGAAGCTAAGACGGGATTAGGAGCTGCTCGGAATCTAGATGGGCTTACCGTCGGGTTAGGTTGAACTTGGACGAGGTCGGGTTCAGAGCACATGTTATATCCGCAGAGTCGATTACACGCAGTGCTCGCAAACATTCGCGCTTCCGACGACGACGATTTTTCGATCATACCTGCTGTAACTTTTTTTAGCAATTCGCGTCTTAACGAGTCCCGCGACGCTTTATACACGTATCTCATAATAATTGGGTTTTACCCATTTTACTCGCATTGGGTTATCCCTTCCCTTGGATTCATACATGTATATGCGTGTGTTGTCGAAACCGAAGCGACAAAGAGATAAAAGGTGATGGGGAGCGACGTCGAAAACTCATTCCGGAAGTGTAAGTAATTTCTAGCATTGGATTGCACACACGGTACTTGAAAAAGCATCAGCCGATAATGCTCATGACCACTATGAGGATAATCTGACGGTTATCGGACGTGTTTGTGCGGTCACTGGCAACTGCTAGTGACGTATTAGATGATCAAGGGAACTGATGTTACAACGATCGACAATCACTAGGCGCTCTCTCAATGATTATAGGGGCCGCTGGTATATGTGATAATTGGCAGGTACATGCCTGCAATTAATGAGTGCGTGAGATTATGGCGGAGAGAATGAGATCGCATCGTTTATAACGACATTCTCCCGAATTCAATCGGGAAAGATCAGAGATTGGCCGGCGATTACAAATAACTTCTTTTTTATAAGACAGCAAAGGGGATATTATTCGAGTCGGCGAACCATAAAGATTTCATTCCGGTCGCCATCGTCATGGGAATCTCCTGTATTTGTGAAGGAACGACGCCGCTCATATCGCCATGGCTTACGGAGGATACGGACGATCGAATCATAATAAAAACGGGATTGACGGCCCACGGGAGACAGCTTACGAGGGGGAGGAAATTGTCCTTCTAGTCTTCGCTCGCCGTGCAATGTTGCCTTATGGGCGCTGAGTCCGCCTCGACAAAGCAATTACCGTGTCGATAACAAAGTAATAATCCCACTTAGGAGAGCGATTTATCAGAGTCGAGAAAATTAGCGGTCTCCGTTGCCTCCCTTCGGACCTGAAACGTTTCTATAGAATAATCCGCGTTTCAATCCCCGCCAACTTTTGCAATATGTCGAACGGGCTTCGATATAAACAAGAAGTTTGTGCACACATATACACGTTGGATTTCGCTCATTCGTCCAAGTATGAAGTGCTTCGGGTTCGCGTTGCATCAGTAAAAACTACATCCGATGACAGCACTTCATCGGGAGCGAACATGAAGAATAAAAGTATACGAATTTTCCGAAGTAAGTCGTGAAGTGTCTCGTGCGTCGCGTAATTGTAAATGCACCTCTGTGCACGAATTAATTTTATTATAGCTTCTCCGTAATTCTCAGCGTGCCTGTACACCCCCTCGTAGCCGAATACTATCTAACTGTGCGAGCGAATGCCACGTACACACTGATAGAAACTTCCGGTTCTGTCCTTGTTTCCACGTTCGTCGACTAAATTGCAATTACTGCTAATTAATTGAGCAAAGGTTTGAGTAGTTGTCGGCGAACAAAGCAAGGCGCGACTATGTCAACGAAGAAATTCTAGTCCGGGACGTCGATGGTGACTCCGTGGAACTGTATAAATAAGATATAAGAATAGAAGAATTCTGCAATTTTCGTTGGAAAGCAACTACAACCTGATTTAGTGGCAATTTGCAACATTCAGTGGATATTTATTCACTCACGAAATATAATACTCATCTTCTGCTTCATCCTTTTGAACATTCTTTTGAATATCTTATATTCGCTATACAGGGTGTAACATTAACATAAAGAGCAGCATACAGGTCAACATATAGGTCATGACGGGTCACCTGCCTCTATTCGGACAATAATGTAGAGGTTGCCGAAAAAGTCATTCGTTGACTTTGTTGACAATGATATTTGCAGTGCTTCCAGTTATGACGAGTCCAACTGATTTTGCACCGTGATTGTTATGACAGCTTATCGACCGTTCACGACAAAAGTCGAGCCTCATCACTAAATTAAAAAAGATGTTTAAAAAAGTGAAACTGACAAGGAACATCCGTGAAGTGTGTGTCGCCGATTTCGACGAGACACGATTCATATTTGTAGAGTAGTCAAAAATAAGACACCCATATTCTTTTTTATCAGCAATAGCTCAGGTTTAAGGGATGAAACTGTCCCTCAAAGTTTCATTCCTTTTATGCTATCTCGATAATTATTGCAGATAGGAAAAAACCTTTTGAACAAAAATTGTGCGGCATAAGAAACTGTATAATTTTTGTTTGAAACGTTTTTTCCTATCTGCAATAATTATCAAGATAGCATAAAAGGAATGGAACTTTAAGGGGCAGCTTCATCCCTTAAACCTGAGCTATTGCTGATAAAAAAAACATGGGTCTCTTATTTTTGGCTACTCTACAAATATGAATCGAGTCTCGAGTCGAAATCGGCGACACACACTTCACGGATGTTCCTCGTGTTGTGAGAAATAAATATTACGGATTTAAATAGAGTGAATAAGAGTAATAGTTAAGGAGATAAATAATACAACACATTTTCTTATTTCACATAATTTCTTAATTTCTTTCTTGTGTTGAAAAGTTTGATAGGAGTTAGAAATTAGAAAAAACGATATAGAAATATCTGGAAGTCTTATGTACTATATTCCATCCATGTTTCTACAAAAGATCGCTTCTGCAAAAGTATGAGTCGACTAGAAACGCAGTATAAATATTAATTGCAATTTAATCGACAACTATTAAGCGACACATTTTCGGTACGTCATAATATTGTACTTTGACGCCTCTTTTATTGAAAATATGGCATGATAATTGTCACATCGATCAGAAGCGATCTTTTGTAGAAATATCGGTGGAATATAATATATAAGACTTCTAAATATTTCTATACCGTTCTTTCTAATCTCCAATTCCTATCGAACTCTTCAACTGAAGAAAGAAATTAAGAAATTATATAAAACAAGAGGAAGCACTGCAAATATCATTGTCAACAGAGTCAACGAGAGACTTTTTCGGCAACTTCTGCATTATTGCCCGAATAAGGGTAGACAACCCGTCATACTGACTTGTATGTTGACGTTGATGATCTTGTACAGTTACTGCAATTATAACTTTCTGCACCGAGAAAGGAATGTCAAATGAATCTCTTGAGAAACAAGTAAGTACGCACTCCTAAATCATTAGATATTTGTTAACATATATTATTAAGATCAGCAATTGATTTATTGACAACGTTCATATTTTCGAATTTACATACGCTGCGCAAGATTCAAATTTCAAATTTCCGTATCTATCGAGATTATCGCGTTCCTCTCTAGCTTCCCTTTCTCTCTTCCTCCCTCCCCCTCCTCCCCTTACTGACTTCTGGCTGCTCATCCTACGCCGAGCGTTGAAAGCTGTACCCAATTAATCAACAGTAATTACAATCTACTCGTCGAACATAGCCGAAAGTTGCCGGCTTGTTGCATCCCCTTTCATCCCTCTGTACCACCCCGAACGCTTAGAAGGTAACACGCGTGTACCTTGCGCGCTTGGTCTCTTGAAAGTGCCCTAGATCAAAGTTGACAAACTTGATTCACCCCTTATTGGAGGCTGAGCTTGACTTTCACGCGGGGTCGGCGATGGATAGTTCGCCGCTTCCAGCTACGGTCTGGCAATCTTAGCTAATCAAACTACACCCGGTCACGGAGTCGGACGTCCCGCTGGAAGTGGCCGGAGATCCCCTGACTCGTTTATTGCCAGGAAATCCGACGGCTGAATGAACATGGTGCATGCCGGAGGTATCGGTAGCCCATCGTTAAGTTGTTCAAATGCGCGATTATAAGCGCTACTTCATTGCACTGTTGCTTCTTCGTCTGATGACTGAGACGGATTCCTTCTCATCACGCACTTTGTCGTAAAAATAATGTCGAGCCAAACTTGAGTCGAGTCCTACCGAGATCCTTCCGAAAGTTCTTCTTTCTCATTACCGCGAACTGTCGTCATCGCAGTTGTTTACTTTGACGATTTAAATCACAAGCGAGAGGCACTAAAGTATGAGGTAATGTAATTATTTTATCTGTGTCATCGTTTCTTATTTCTTTCCTCGCTCCACTTTCTTGCTTCTTATTGCGCAATTAAAAACATTTGTCTTTTGGTTTGGTTAATAAATAGTTACTAAACGATTACTAAATATTGACGTTATACGATGTGGAGAGCATGAAATATGTGAATGAACAGGTAACGTCAGAGTACTCTCCAGCGCATGTTTACCCAGTCTGGCCTATACAGGCGCGTCTCATCAGCTGAAGAGCATACGATCTCATAAACATCGATACAAGTGGATACAATATGAAGGAGCGATCATAATAGTCCTTGACTTGCGGCTATGTACAGTAGAATGCATTAATTCGCATCGCGAGAAGAGAAGCGTTGTTCCCCCACTCTGACCATCATCTCCGCCAACTGTTGGAGGCCAGTCTAGTGCGAAGTATAAACAAACATCTCAGCATGACGACTCATGTCCCCCCTCCTCAACGGTCTTTTAGTAAAAACTTTTTTGCAATATTCTGGAAACTTATTTTCTTCTCAGAACGATACAAATATTTGGCGAAGAAACGCTTCCGCGGACAATTTTCTCATCAGCCATCAGCGGGTAAAGGCTAACGAGTTGGAATATTATTTCTCACAGCTTATAATCAGAAATCTGTCACGGGCACAAATCCAAACGGTAAACATCTCTAAGATGCGTAGTTCTTTCAGCGAAGATTTATTATTTTCTAAAGTGAAAAAGTTTCCACTTATAATAGACCGGCATGAGTCATTATGCTGAGATATTTGTTTATATTTCGCGCTAGAAGGCCCGGCCGGTCTTCGTCAGCTGGCGGGAGAGATGACGAGCGGAGTGGGGGAACAGCGCTTCTCCTCTTGCGGCGCGAATTAATGCACGCCACTGTACACCGGCGGCTACCGTCGCGTATATTATTTTCCGACTTCTCCGATCAGAGTCAGTTGAATCCGATCAGAGTCAGTGTGCGAGACACGAAGGTAGTGCCAGTGTCATTTAGAACAGTGACAGAGCAGGATTGCCGAGAATTTTTCAGCAATTACCATTTTTCATTATCTCTTAATCTCCAAAAGCGGAACATACAGCTTAATGCCTCCGTAAGCTCGACACGTTGATACGCTTATCGGAAATATAACATGGCCAAGCAAAGTCAATCCGCAGACTTTCCGCGCTCTCGCGTTGAACTCTTTGCGTTCGCAAACTGGGACACAGTTGTCGCGACGAGAATCGTCGAGTTATCGCGAGGAGTTAACGCCTTCGTATTAACATTCCCCCCGCGCGCTTAGTCTCGTTCCGACGATTGGAAGTTTCCCGAGGAACATTCAGGAATTAACGGCGCCGCCTGTTTTCAGCGGCTGGTTTATACAAATACGCGTCAACACCGAGAGAAACTTATCGCGTGCCTCTCCCACGTGCCGACGTGCTGCCGAACGGAAAGACCGCGAACTGATCGACGCTAATCGACTCAGAGCGCAGCTCTCGAACGCCCGTAATTGCGCTAATAACGTTTGCACACGTATCACGAGGCGATCACGACGTCGACGGCGCGGCGAGGTATCTCCCTCCGATGATAAAAACCACAAAGCAGATTGACACGCTGACATTGAGGCGCTGGCGCGTACAATTCCGCCGGTGTTCCGCAACGAGAGTACGCCGACGTGCGCGCGTGCCGTACACGGCCGTGATATGTTGCCAGTGGGTCAAGTTATTTAATCCCGCCGGCATAAACCATAGCCGGCACGTCCGAAATTTATGCACCGGAGCCGCGGCAGAATGCACGGCGGGATGCGCGCCGCGCGGCCCGAAATATTCGCGCACGCCGGTGCCGTGCCGTGTCCCGGAAGACCGTTGCGCGCCGGTTGCGCGAACTCGTTACAGCGATAGCGAAAACAACATCGGCCGTGTCGATGCCGATTCCTCCGTCGGACTCCGCAATTCCGCGATTTACGGAATTCGATATCCCGATCGCGCGTGTTTTATCCTCCGTTCCTTTTTTCGCCCTCCCTTTTTTGCCCCCCTCCCCTCGCCCCCCCGCCTTTCTCTCTCGCTCTGTTTTTCCCCGCCGGCCGAGCGCGATAAATTTTGTCGCTCGCGTCACCCCGGCCTAACAGTTTGTATAAACAATTGCAATCAGCAATTTTTTTTATTTTTCTATATGTATCTTTTTTTTTTTTTTTTTATTTATTTTGAGTATCCAGCCTATATATCCCGTTGCATGCGGCGGCTATCGATCATCGTGCACCAAGTGTCCCACCAGAGTGCCATCCGTTTGCGTTAGCGACAGACCTTTTTTTCGCATATTCCAAATAAACTTGCCCCGGGTCGTTATAATTCCGCGGGTCTCTTTGACACGCGAGACCGGCTGGGACGAATCACGGCCGGTTAATTCGCACGCGAGCATGAACGGGCGAATGTAATCGTCTTGTCTGCGGCTGACTTTAAGTAAATTTCGCTGAAACAAAATTTCAACTTCATGCATAGTTAATTAGAGACGTCTGGAAAGTTTGACGGGGAATATACTTTCCTCGTCATTTTCACTCGTGTCTTCTCGCGATCGCGCGACAATGAGGTTTGCCGGTGTTAATTATTATTATTCTCTCCTCCTCTCTCTTCCCCCTCCCCACCTCCCTGCCCCGCCCCCCCTCTCTCTCTCTCTCTCTCTAGCCTCGACCGATTTGTTTCTCTGTCTTCGAGATGCACGACTGTGAATTAATTAAAATCGGATCCGAAGGAATTCGCTCGCGCCGTAACAACCGTGCGGGGCGCGTTTCACTGCGATCCCGAACTAATTAAAAAATAGGAACAAGAGCAACAGCCTGTCAGCTCGCGCGCATCCGACGCGTTTGTTTGCGTGTCGGCGCATTCCTCGCCTCGTTCCCCGATGCGCACGCTGCAACTCAGCAAAGTGCATTCCTACGGGGGCACAGCAACCGCTCGTCGTCGCTGTTGGCGTTGTCGCAGGAATTGGATCGGTCACCCGATATCGCAGACGGTATTCTCGAAATTCGAGCGCCCACCCTGTATTAATATTAAATTCCGCGCCGGACCAGCCTGGCCGACGATAGCCGCCGGGGATGCACCGGGGATGCAACGCGGAAATTACACGCTCGAATGCGGCCGATAACGCACGTCGATCAACGACTTAGTCCACTTGGTAACTCCGAAATTGCGGAATTTCTGCCCCAATTCGACGCGGGAGACATTCTTTTTTCTTCTCGTTAATCTTCCGCGTCTCGCAGCGGTGATCTTCCCTCTGCTGCTCCTCGCGAGATTAAATGGCAGATCCTCCGATTTGCTTGTCAGCTATACAGTGTTGTTATTTTCTCATCGGAAATGGATGCGGTAATTAGCATGCAAGCGCGCGAAAGAGAAAGACGGGAAAGATGTCGTCAGTCGTCTGTCGATCGTAATACACCGCTCGCACCGTAAGATGACGTATTAATGAAACATTCAGGCTCCACTTTGTAAATTCATTTCGCTGATTAACGAGCCGAATATTTCAGGAATTCGCGGCACGGCTTCGATGTATCGAAATATCGCGCGACGCATCGATCGCCGGGCGTATTACAGCGATTAAATCAAACGCGATATCGGATCGTATATCGCTTTTGACATCGGCGGAGCGCGATTAATTTTACAATTCCGTGCTAAATAAAATAGTGAGCCCGTGCGCTCTGTTAAATAAAACGTATTAGCGAAGCGTGACTTTGCTTCATAAAAATTATTAACGCTAGCTCGGGGAGACGCGCGCGCGAAATATGCGAAATAATGCGCGAAAATAATGTTACTCCGGTCGACGTGTTTGCGCGAATTTTCATAACACCGCGCATATCGACGTTATCGCATATCTTTCCCGGACGCGATGCATTATTAATGTCGGATATTAAAAATGGAGAACGGTGCCATGTGCAGCTAGAATTTAATTTAATGCCCGAACACACGAGTCCTCTCACCTCTCGCCGCCCCGCTCTTCCTCCTCTCTCACCCATCCTCCCCCGTACGATCAAGTCTGACAGCTTTAACATCGCTAAAACAATTATTGACAATACTCCCCGCTGCGTGAAAAAGAATAGGCCGTTACCTTGCACGATCTTACGCGGAGGAATATTCGTCGTCATTACGTTGCATTTCCAAAATAAACTCGCACTCGGGAAAATCTTGTCGTGTTCGAATTTATTATTGTTATTTAATAATAATATACGGATGTCTGAACCCTTTGATGCACATTGCAATTGAGACAATAGTACAACGAATAAGAAAACTCTCGTACAACAGAAAAGGGGGGAGAGGGGGAAGGAAGGAAGAAAGAAAGAAAGAAAGAAAAAAAAGATAGAAAAAAAGGAGAGAGAGAAAATTTTCTCCTTTTATCATCCCTCCCTCCTACCTCGCCTTCTCCCTTTCTTTACATAATGTTGTATGTAAATAGTCACATTTTACGCATTGATTACAAATTTGATCGCTTTTTAACGGAAATAGATTCTCCCGGCGATAGCCCGGCAAATTATTCGCGTATTTTGTCCGCCATCGACGACAAGATGCGGACGGACTTTTTGTCTTGGAATAAATTACGGGGGTTACAAGGGGAGAGGGTGAGAGAGAGCGAGAGAGAGAGAGAGAGAGAGAGAGAGAGAGAGAGAGAGAGACGAGAGAGAGAGACGAGAGATAAGGACGTGTAAGTCCCCGGGGATTAACAGGGCTCGACAGTTTCCGGCAATTTTCGATTGGGGGGACAAGAGGGGTCGATGGGAACGCGCGTGTCGCTGATTCAGCAGCGGCTTTTTTTCACACGCTACTCGGCCGCGGCCTGGAAAGAAGAAGCCGATCGCTGGAGTCGTAAGAATGATACATCGCGCGGCCCCGGTATATATTGCAATTTATCAGAGCCTCGCGCGAATTACCTCGAGATAGGATCGGAGTATCGACGGGTAGATTTGTATGATGGTCCGATAGTGCGAGCCCGTCGCTGCGCTCGCACGTATAATTCTGTCGCGAGCAGCGACAAGGCTAATGCTTGCGACATCGATACATCGTGATAGCATCCGGTCGCCGAATGGCGCCGTGCAACGCGAATTTGTTCGCTTCGCCCGTTTTGGCGTTTCTTGAATAATTTAGTGCCGCCGATTGCAAGTTTACCGCCGGCTCTGCCGCTGTTTCCGATTAGCTTCACGAGCTGTTCGATCCCGGCGATTCGAGCTTCCGAACCGGTGAGAACATGATGACAGTGGAGGGGAGGAGGAGAGAGGGGGAGGCGGGAATGACGCGCGTGAAATTCGCCCGATAGTCGTATATTGGTTTGGCAACTAAGTAATTGCGGATTTTGAAAAAGAGTAAAAGACAATTTTTTCATGGAACGAAATAACTTTATGCAGCAATGCTATTTATGCAAAATGTAATGTCCATCTTTATCAATAACTATTTGCCATCTTTCGGGCAGCGTCATAATTCTACGTTCATAAAATTTGTGGTTTTTATCGGCAAGAATCTGAACCAAGTGCGACTTGACATCATCATCATTATTGAAATTTTTACCATTCAAGAAGTTTTGCAAAGAACGAAATAAATAATAATCTGATGGTGCAAGGTCAGGACTATATGGTGGATGTGGTAACATATCCCAACCAAGTTCCAATAATTTTTGCCGAATGAACAAAGATGTGTGTGTCCTTGCGTTGTCATGGTGGAACACAATAACTTTTGGATTTGCCAATTCTGGTCGCTTTCCTTGAATTGCATTGTTCAGTTTGGTTACTTGTTAAATGTATATACATCTGAATTGATCGTTTGGTTGCGTGGTAAAATTTCAAAATAGACAATTCCTTTGTAATCCCACCAAACTGATACCACCTAACATAACTTTCTTTTGATGAATATCAGCTTTGGATGTTGTTTGCGCTGGTTCAACTTGCTTGCTGCACCATCTTTTTCAATTGACATTGTTGTGAATAACCCATTTTTCATCGCCAGTTATCAATCTTTTCAAAAATGGATAATTTTCGTTACGTTTCATAAGCAAATCACAGATGCGTTGTGCAATGCGTCGTGTTAAGTGAATTTCTTCAAGTTCACGAGGAACCCGTAAACCGAGTTCTTTTACGTAGCCCAGTTGTTTTAAACACTTCTCAATGCATGTATGCGATACATCGAGCTTCTCTGCAATCTCACGTGTTGTGCTATCACGATCCGCATCGATCACTACTTTGATTTGGTCGTCATCAACTTCGCCTGGACGACCAGACCGTTGTTCATCTTTGAGTGAAAAATCACCAGAACAAAATTTAGCAAACCAATCGTGACACTGCCGTTCTTTTAAGGCTTCGTCACCATACACAGCACATAACTTTTAGTAAGCTTGCGATGCGTTTTTTCCTTTGCCGAAGTAAACAAGCAAAATATGACGAAAATGCTCGTTTTACCTTTCCACTTTTCAACCGACCGCTAAACAAAAACTACACAACCGGTCGATACAACTTTTTTATTGAATGCCAATTGAAGTACCAACTATCAAACAACAATATGGGTTTGACATTCCGAATACGTAAATATACCTAAAAATTCAACTGACGCCATCTACCAGTGAAATCCGCAATTACTTAGTTGCCAACCCAATAAATCGTACAAACGGGAGAACGGCGGAATTATATCGGAAGGCGACAGCGAGAAGAGCAAGATACTCGATTTCTTCTCGCCGGACGTCGCATTCGCGCGAGCTGAGGAATTTTTGCAGCTCTCCTCCGCCGTGTTGGAGAGGCAGACACACGCCGCACATTCGCGGTTCCCCGGTGCTCCCGGGAAGTCCGGATTCGCGTGAGTCGCTTTTCTTGCGAGTCGAGTAGCGTGACGTCGAGTACGTACTAAGAAGTATACCCCGCGTGATAATAACGACGTCGTTAGGCGGCTCGACCTCTCCTCGTGCCATGATGACCCGTGGGATGCCGGCAAGTCGCGTATATCCGGTCTCTGGGATGCGCGAGACACTTTTCGGGAACTTTGGATTTGACTGTTAGGTGTACAACTTAATTCTCGGCCCCAAAATTCAATGAATGACAGCTTCTATTCAAATTGAAATTTATTCCTGCCTTATGGTGGTCTGAAAGTACTAAGTCTCAGCTTTAGAATGCAGTATAACAGATGGCAATCCTGCTGATATAACCTCAAACAACAGTAGTGAATGCAATGTCGTTCGAAAAGCAACATTTGAAGCACTGCCTCCTTTTCGCTTTCCAACTTAAAAAAATGCAACTGAAGCGCAGGAAATGGTTTGTTCGTCCTTGAGCCGGCTTGGGACCCACGCAAATCGTGGGTTCATCCAGGTGAGCCACCAGTACTCCAAAACCAAACATTCATGCGAAAAAGTGCTATTGTGTATTTGGTGGGACTGGAAGGGTGTTGTGTACTACGTAATTGAACCCGGTCAAACGGTCAATGCTGAACGCTACAAGCAACAACTAATCAAAGTGAATGACGCACTCGAGTAAAAAAGACCATTTATTGGTAGTGGAACGAGGCAAGTTCCTACTGCTACATGATAACGCACGGCCGCACACGGCAAAAGCGATCCTGGAAATCGTCTCGAACTTAGGCTGGGAAATCCTTCCTCACGCGGCGTATTCTCCAGACCTCGCCCCATCAGATTATCACCTGTTCCGATCGCTACAGCACCACCTAGCTGATTCGCACTTCCGAACTTCTGAAGAAGTCAGAAAAAGCATCGATGGCTTCATTGAGTCCAAACCACCATCGTTCTTTTTTCCGAAGAGGAATTCGAAAGTTGCCTGAAAGATGGCAGAAATGTGTAGAAAGTGAGGGAGGTTACTTTCGGGATTAGGTAAGTATTCTTTTTTATAAACTGAGCATTGGAGTTGAGCAAAAAAGACCGAGAATTAAGTTGTACACCTAATATTTCTCTCTTCCGATCGCGGGCAATCGCTTCGGGCGACGTGTATCTGCGATTCGCTCGGCGATCGACGCGATGTCAGCCCCAAAATCGAATTGCGCGATACCGCTTGAGCCGAAGTACGGTTAATGGCTTCCGTGCGATTTGCCGGGGACGCGAAATCGCCGACGCGAGAAACCAAACAATCGGGTCACCCGATAGCGTCTTAGAGCACTGACGCGGAGCATATTTGCGCTCGTTCGAGCATGGCCGAGCGTTGTTGCGCACTGAACGCAATAACAAGCTGCATTAGAGTCGCCTTCTAGCGCCGCTTCGTCTTCGTGTCGTTTCCAAAGAGCGCGCAGTGTGCGACGGGGTAATGTCTTCTGTAATATATAACAAATTTCTACTCGTTCTACACGGAGCGTATCGTACTCTCGAACGGGCCAGATCTCGCACAGTGTTTCCTCTTCATATCTGCAGTTGTCTGAACACGCGTCTCTCGATATTTGCTTTTTTTATCAGCTTCTTTATGATTCTAGACTTTGCTTTCGTTGCGCTGCAGAAATTAAATGATCAAAGTGACGTCAACGAGATACGCCAAGATGAACAAACGAGAACCTGTGCACGGCCATATCGACGCGCAAACACGACTTTCGTGTCGCAGTTAGTCGATTTTTCCCGGCTAACTTGCTACGTAAACCAGCGGAACCATCGGCGAGCCAGTAAAGCCGGCGCTGGTACTTCGTTAGCAATATCAAGTGAGTTATCTGTTACTAACGCTAAACTTCGGTTACGTTAATTTAGCAAGGGGCCGCTTTTACGGATACTCCGGCGGCATCGATAAATCTGGCAATTCGCGGTCACGTAATATCGCAAATAATAACGGCGCCGTTGCGTTATCACGCATACCGCGCCTCGCGCGTATACAGGATGTCCTGAGACCACAGTCCTACCAATCACAGGCTCTCCTGTGTCCCAAACGAATGAAAGGGGCTGACGACACTGATAAAGAGAGGAGGAATGAGTGAAAAACTGCGGTGGAGGCCAAAAGATGTGGATTTGAAAAATAGGCTGAAATTATTAAAAAAAGAAAGAGAGAGAGAGAGAGAGAGATATTTAAAATTTATTTCGGACTAATGTGTGATCGTCACACCGACTAATGTGAATTTGAAATAGGCTGATATTAATAAGGAGAAAGAAAGAGATATTTAAAATTTATTTCGGACTAATATGTGACACCGCCTTCTCTCTAATATATTCCAATGGTACGTATTTATTTATTTTATTTTTTTATGAAAACGTGAAAATATGAAGCATTTATATTTTTCATTAGTTGGGTTTTTCGCGGGGAAAAACAGGTTTGTGGTGATACATTTGGAAAGATACACGTTGCTCGAGCGATAATTGAGCAAATATGATAAATGGGAGATGTAATGAAAAATTCGGCCGTTACACAAAGTAGGCAAAAATATAACGGTGAGTCAGATCCTCCGGGAGAATAAACAAACTGAATGAAAAAACCCACGGCTGAGGGGAGTCCTGGGCTGCGTACATTCAGTACGCATGCAGATGCAATTTTGAGCCGTACACTCGTAATTAGGCAACCGCAATTAATCACGCGCGCATCAAATATTTACGCGAGCAGGAAACCGCGCTTTATATACAAACATACTGCAATTTATCATGTTCCGCTCTCACGCCGGATTACGTTGCCGTTCCGAAAGAGCTTTTTCAACCGGTCGAGAAGCACCACTGAAACGCGCGGAAGCATCCTGCGGGTATCAGCGGGTATGTTCCCGAAATGTGTCCATACAACACGCCGCGAGATACTGCGTGTTATTAATTAATTGCAACTTGTATTATCATCATCGAAACGCGCGACTACGATAACACAGCGCGCTGTATTATCGTTTCACGTGCGATTTTGTGCGCGGCGGTTCGTTCTGGAAAATTCATTCCAACGGCAACACCGTCTCTCTTCCCTCATTTCGACCGAGTGAAGTAAGAGACGTTGTTGATTTAATTTCAACTTTCCGAACTCTCGGTCAAACAAACCGCAATTTTAGCTCTCGAAGCGCGGCGGAAGTTCGCAGTGGCCGAGCGGAATCCTGGAGGCGCGGCGCTCGAAGCGCCGCAAGACGATAAAGCTCGATCACGCACGCACGTACATTGTTGCATCGTATGATCGCGCGCACTAACGGAGTTGTTGAAATTTGTTGTCAGGACAACGGATGTTATTGCAGTAAGTAGCGGCAGTTACGGTGGTTTAGGGCGGCCTTCTGGCAATTACGTGCGGCCTGCGAGCTATCCGCGTTGGCGCACGATATATTCCGTGTTTGTCCGGAACTCGTCGCGTGCACCACGCACACACGCACACACACACACACACACACACACACGTGCAATTCCCCAATTCTGCTCCGAAAAAGCCGCGAACGACGAGTGCAGGCAGGTAGGTATACTCCCGCGCGCGCGGCACTCGTTCGCATCACGCGTCCTCATTAATTCGCTCCACGGCGTCTCATTTACGCCAGATTGCCGGTGCCCCCCCCCCTCCTCCCCTCATTTGCATTCCCGTTAATCATTGCGCGGTTAATACCTCCGAGCCGACATCGCGCACTGATTTCGTGGCTTGCGCTTCGCTTCGAGTGTGAAAAAAAGGGTGAGAGAGAGAGAGAGAGAGAGTGAGAGAGAAAGAGAGAGAGAGAGAGAGAGGGAGGAGCCCCGCCGCGCGCGAGATGCAGGCTGCTTTCAAAGGAAAGGATAGTCGTTCGTTTCTGCCCAGCTCGCTCTCGCAAATGGAAAATATTTTCCTGATGAGACACCGCGGTTGGAAAATCAGTCCAGGCCATTCCCGGGCGAGTGCTGCGCGCGCGAAGCGATCATATCGCGAGCATATCGGAACGCGAGGGGGATCCGCTCGAGGATTTGGAAACTTTGAGGCGGAGGAAGTAGCTCGCTCTTTCTCTCTCTCTTTCTCTGCCGTCTCAAACAGATTTTAGGCGAAAGAGAAATTCGAGCTGAACGGCGAGAGAGATTTTCATCCAATCTCGAGTTCACTCGGACAAACGAGTCTGTCTTTTCCCCGGCAGCCCCGTGTAACTGAAACTAATGAGTTTTCCGCGATGAAACACGGATTTGCGCACGGCGGCGGCGATAATTATTAATCTTTCTCGAAGCGCACGGGGAGTAAGCCGGCACGCGTATTCCGGCGCGACGCCATATTTTATTTCGCCGCGTCTGCCAAGAGTTACGTTATTATTGAAGCAAACAGAGCACGACGGCGTGTCTCGCACCGCGTGCGGCTTAATTTAATTATGGCCGCTACCAAGCGGGCCGGCTAACTTCTCGCGAGTTATTATAAGCTTACAACTTGCATTGTAAATTATTAACGGCTCTCCGGGCGTAGCCGGATCGCCAGCAGGCGGCTTAGAATAATTCGCTGACGATCAATCGCCGCGATCGATCCCGCGGCATTCTCGCGAGCAGCCGGCGACGAGGGGGCCGCAATTTGAATAAGTTCGAAAGAGACGCAATCTAACCGCGCAAGACGAAGAACGGGAACAACGCGAAAGCGGCGGCCCGGACGGCAGGGGTGGGTTTATTCAAATTGAACGCGACAGAGGCGGAATGTCTGGCATGCCCGCGGGTTGTCAACTTTCCATTTTAAGTTCGCTGACGTATTGAGTCGAAGTTCGCAGCCACGGTACTTCCGGAACTGGTCCACCACCCCCGAGACACGGGCTCGCACCGACAGGTAAAATATTGTTCCGTTAGCCCCGTGCCGCATTGATTCTAGATATTGCGGTGGTGCTCCCGGACGGCTGGTAAACATAAATAACGGTGACGGAAGCGCGCGCGGATCAGTGAATAATGGAGGAATATTATTAAGGGCAAACACGCTTATTCTCGAGCTGCCCTATTTTTCTCTCGCGCGCGAGTCCCGCTCTGAAATGACCGAGTCCGATTCGATAAATTCCCGACAACCGTTCGTGAAAAAATTATATCGCGTATAATTATGTAAAATAACATAATCGCGTATAATTATATAAAATTATTATTCTACATACTAGGTGCGTGCAAAAGTTTTAGTCTTTTTTTCGCAGCTTCCTGATGCAATTATTTTTGCGGATTATTTTTTAATTGGAATATTTTCCCGGCGGTTCTCTAAGGTTGGCATTGGACTTTCCCGGAGTATTTTTGTAAGGTTGATATTGGACTTTCTAAAACGCCATTCATATTATGATTCACTGGTTCATATAGCTTTAAAAATAACAGTTGATACAATGAGCGATGAGCAATTTTACATCCGACACTGCATTCGATATGAATTCCAGCGAGGAAAAAATGCTACTAAAGGATGTGAATGAATTAAATTGCTCTGTTCTTGGGGAAAATATTGATTTCTTCGCTTTAAAAACGGTGATTTCGACGTAAATAATCATCCGCTCTGGAACGCCACAAAAGCTTGAGACCGACAATTTGGAAACATTGCTGAATGAAAACCCGTACCGAACGCAAGTAAAACTTGCAGAACAGCTCGGAATTGACCAAGCAACAGTTTTAAGGCAACTGCGGGAAATGGGAAAAATTTAGAAACTCGGAAAATGAGTGCCTCGTGAATTATCGCAAAACAGCATTATCCGCCCGTTGAAAGTACATGCGTTTCATTGCTTTCTAGAGAGCACAAAACAGATTTTTTATCGAAAATTGGTACTAGCAATGAAAAGTGGATTATGTACTTTCTATTAGGTGTGTGAATTAATTCGGTCCGTTTTTTTCTTCCAAAAAAGAGACTCTAGTATGAAAAACATGAAAAAGTACACTAATCAAAGTATTTGCCATCGCTTGCTATTATTTTTTCCCATCTGTCTGGCAGTTGTTGCATTCCGTGACGGAAAAACGACTCATCCTTCGAAGCGATCCATTCATCGAGCCATTTCCCTATTTCTTCATAATTGTTGAAGTGCTGGTTCGAAAGCCCATCGATCGAACAAGTGATAATCGGATGGAGCAATGTCCGGTGAATACGGTGGGTGAGGTAAAACGTCCCAGCCAAGTGCTTCCAAGGTGGCCTTCACAATCTTTCCAACATGTGGCCGAGCGTGTATCGTGCTGGAAGATCACTTTGTCGTATCTCTTTGCATATTCCGGCCGCTTATTCTTCAATGCGTTGTTTAAACGGATCAATTGTTGTTGGTAAAGTTCAGCAGTGATGGTTTGGCTCTGTTTTAATACTTCATGATACACTACACCCTTCCGGTCCCATCATATACAGAGCATTACTTTTTTGCCGTGATTATTCCGCTTTGGTATCGATGTGGATGGTTTCCCTGGGTCGCTAATGGATTTCCTTCGTTTGGGATTATCGAAATATATCCACTTTTCGTCTGCAGTCACGATACGATGCAAGAAACCTTTTCTTTTTTGCCTGGCAAGCAAGATTTCAGACATGGCTTTTCGCCTCTCGATGTCTCTTTCTTTCAGTTCGTGTGACACCCATCTTCCTTCTTTTTAAATCTTTCCCATGGCTGCCAAACGCACAGAAGTTGTTGATCGATCAACATTCAACAATTGCGCGAACTCCTGTTGCGATTGACACGGATCTTCATTGATTAGCGCCTGCAATTCCTCGTCCTCGAACTTCTTCGGCTAACCTGGACGAGGTTTGTCATCGACACTGAAATCATCACTTTTGAAACGTCGACACCATTCTCTGCATGATTTATCGGTGGGAGCACTTTCATCCACATCCACA